TTAGAGGGTTAGACCGGGGTAAAATTTACAAAATTCTCGAAAAATCTTGGGGGGGTATTGGGTGGGGTAAGATTTTTATTGCATTTTTAAACGGCAATTTTTACAAAAATCAAGGGGGGAGGTCAAGAAAAAATTCCCTAATATTCCCTTAAATTCCCGAATATTCCCATGTAAATTCGATAAAGTTGCCACAAGTTCCCGTATAAATTCCCAGGAATGTAGGTAAAATTTCTAAATAATACAAAAAAAACTTAAAAATTAATAAAAAAAATTAAAAATTAATAAAAAACATAAATTTTAACAAAAAAAATAATAATGTATTTAATACTTTAAAATTATTAAAAATACTTTAAAAAGCATTAATGATACACTATGAGTTTTTTATTATTTTAGTAATTTTTAACTTTTAAAATAAATAATTTTTTAAATAATACTTTGTTTATAGTTTATAGATATATATATTTATTTTTAATGTTATTTTTATATAAATACTGACTGAATACTAATTATAAAATTGATTTTTTTTAATTTTTTAGTTAAAATTTGAAAAAATATTAATAAAATCCTTGTAATATAAGTATTTATTGTTTTATTAACTTCTTAAACTATCTTAAACTTATATTTAAATTGAATTATTGTTACTCTTTTCAACAAATAGGTAATTTTTAATTTTTTAGTTTAATATTTTAATTAAAATTATTTTATTTTTAAATGAGTATTAACGTTATTTTAACTTTTTTACTTATTTTTAATCAATAATTAGATTCGTATAAATTTAAATAAACATAAAAACACATACTAAAATAGTTTTAATTAAAATTTTAATTTTTAAAAACTTCAAAAAAATTTCGTTACGTTTCGGGGGGGGGGGGGGGGTCATTTCTCCTCGTTTTTAAGCGACAATTTTTCCCATTTGGTCAAAAAGTCTGGGGGGTAAAATCCCAAAATCTCGATCCTAGGGGGGGGTATTTTGGCCTTACCCACCCCTACCCCCCTTACTTAACCCTTGTATTAACATAACACACTTAAACACATTAAGCATTGATATCAATGTGTGAGACATAGCATCACATTTTAGGCAACACTTTCTCAGAAAGTCTTAAACAGCGGCGGCTGAGGCGATGATATTAATTACAATTATATGGTCAACAATACGTTCAATTTAAAAGTGACCAAGGACAATGTTGTAGATAAATTTAAACTAAATAAAATTGTAATTGGTCATTTTTTAATTAATTGTATAATTTGCTAGATAAATGCAGTCTACTATCATTTATAATTTTTTTTAAAACAGTCGACTATAAATTATTTAGTATATAATTCAATTAATTAAAAAATGACCAATTACAATATTATTTAGTTTAAATTTATCAACAACATTGCCACTTGGTCACTTTTTAATTGAACGTATTGTTGATCAGATAATTGTAATTAATAGCATCACCGCCGACGCTGTGAAAGATTTTCTCACACTATCACAAAGTTTTCATAACATTTCATAACAATTTCAAATTATTTGTCTCTATTGTCTCAATACTATCATTGAATAAAAATATAATATTTAATTTAATTAAAACGGGCCGTAATTACGGGCTTAAAAGTCTTGTTATTACTAATTGATTGCTAATATTACATATTTATTATGTAACGATATTGTTATTGATATTATAGTTTATTTATATAGTTATTGATTAAGTAGTAATTATATTAAATATAAGAATAAAAAGTATAAATAAAATAATTACAAATAAACTACAATAATAACCAATTAAACTATTATGTAATTTTCAAAAAATAATTTAAGGATTAATTTATTGTTAAGATTGACTTAAAAAACTTTTTTTTATACTTAATTATATAAATTTTGATAAAAGTATTGCTTAAATACTAAGTATTTTAAACAAACTTGAGATTAGTTTTGTTGAAAATAATAATTAGATTTATATATTTAAAATTATAATAACAATAACTATATCATACATTATTTTATTATTCATATTTTCTTAATAGAAAATTATTGTTAAAATACAGATAATTATAAATATGATAATATATTATTATTTTAATAAATTTAAATCATAATTAGATAATACATAATAATACTAATACTTTTTTAGCAAACAATTATTCAAATAAATTTAGTTTTTTATTATTATTATTATTGTTTTTTTCTCAACACTTGTTTGTAATAAATCGGATCTTTGGCCTCAAGTCTTGAAATATATTCATCCGTTTCTTGTTTTATTTGTTGTGTGTATTGAATCTGTTCTTCAATATAACTATTCGGACGAAACCTGTTGTGTAATGTCTTGAAGTCAATGGTTTGTCCCCTACTATGTCCATCAGTTGGTCCATCAGTTGGTCCATCAGTTGGTCCATCAGTTGGTCCATCAGTCGGTCCATCTGTCGGTCAATCAGTTGGTCCATCAGTTGGACCACTGATATCAATGCTATCCAATTGTATGTCAGTTGTGTTGTCTGTATTTTTTCGCAACTTATTGATTGTTACAATGATTATAATGACAATCATTATCATTGTTATTACGATTGAAATTATTATAAATAATTCATTAGTAAAGTTATGATCATTAGGTATACGAAATTTTTCTGAAGCTATAAATATATTAAAGTATATATGTTTTATTTTGCTAAATTAAAATTTTGTTAAAATCATATACAGTATATTTATATTGATATTATTAAAATTTTTATATATTATATATTACTTTTTAATACTTACAATTAGTTGAATTCATTGTAATACTTAAATAATTAATTTTATAAAATAGACTTTATTAAAAATACAATTTTATGTATAAATTTATATATTAACTAATTGTATAATTATGAATTGGTATAAAAACCAGTTGAGAATGCTAGAAAGCATTTCCATACGAACTCCTAATCCAAATTAAAAATTAAATTAAAATCGAATGATTAAGTATGACAAAATAAACTCAACTATAGTTATGTGGTGTATCAAATCACTCAGTATGAAAGAATAATTAAACTTTAGTCATGTGGGGTATCAAATGATTTAGTATAAAAAATAAACTTAAACAATTCATATAGAGTATCAAATAACWAAAATAAATTATTATATTTACTMTAAATATAACTTAAWTTTAAAGAGTATTAACTCAAGCTTCATCTTATTTAAAATATAAAAATTTGTTTGATAATTTCATAACTTATTTTTAATGTTTAATTCCAATCCAAGAATTAAATATTAATTTTAAATTTTTTTACTTTGGCCGCCATTTTATATACGTTCATAAAGATATTAAATGTTTTATATTAATCATTATATCTTATTTTTAAAGCTATATTCAAATTTATACTTATATTTTTTCAATTTTTTTGTACTTAGATCGTCATTTTCTTTGTTCCCGAAGAGATATAAAAATTTTAATGCTAATTCATAGAGCTTGTTTTTGATGCTTTAATCAAATCTATATTTAAAAATTTTTAACTAAAATTTATTTTAACTTTGGCCGCCATTTTCTCTATGTTCCTGAAGAGATATCAAAATTTTAATGCAACAACTAAAACAACTATACACATATTGTATATCATATTACTCAGTATAACTATTAATACTCTACTAGATACATATTTGTATCAAATGACTCAGTATGACAAAATAAACTCATTTAGTCATGAGAGCTTATTTTTTATGCTCTATACACTTCTAAACGTTAAAATTTTTACCTAAATTTGGCCGCCATTTTTTCTATGTTCCCGAAGAGATAACAAAATATTAATGCAAGTTTTTATGTTTGCTTTTGATGTTTTATTCAAATCTATACTTAAAAAAATTCTTAAAATTTTCTTTACTTTGGCCGCCATTTTCTCTATGTTCCCGAAGAGATATCAAAATTTTGATGCAACTTTTCAATACATTATTAGTAGTGCTCTAACCGAATCTGAAGTCAGAATTTCAAAATACAATGAAATGCGGAAGGACAGACAGACAGACAGACAGACAGACAGACAGACAGACAGACAGACAGACAGACGGAAGGACATATAGAATTCAGTACGTACTCCTTTCAGGAGTTCGTGAATATTGTATTATTATTTTATAGTTTATAACTATATCTGAAATTTAATTATTCATCAAACATTACACAACAACAACAACTACAACAATAGAAATTGTTTATCAAGTGTTAAATAAAAATGTTTTAATTATATATTAAGTTTTAAATAGTTCAGAAATGTATATAAATAATAAAATATCAATTCAAATATTTAGCAAACATTACAACAAATATTAAATAAATTGATTAACAAATGATAAAAAGGATTTGTTATAAACATATAAACATTTTTATTGTTTAGAGAATATTTAATATCATATTTTTATTTTTAAAGATTAAAATAATTAAAATTAAATATATATACTTATTATTTTTTAATTTAAAAACTATACAAATATAATATTATAATTATAAAATTATTATTATTATTATTGTTTATACAAATATCTAAAAAATATTTATCAAGTGTTAAAAGGATGTGTTAGTCATACTTATAATAATTTCAAAATAATAACTATAATTTTTTTTTAATTAAATGTTTCATATATCTTAATGTAACAGTACTGTTAATGGATTTAATTAAATAAATTTTTAACTACATTAAATTTATACGGTATATATTTTTTGCATAATTATTCACATTATAAAACCTTTTTTTCAAAAAAATAAATAATAATAATTGATTGATTGTATTATTAATTAAGTCAACACTCAACAACATATACTTACTGTAATTATTGTTAGGTAACTACCAAATTTATTACACTTGTTATAATCACAATCATTGGTGGCAATAAAATAATTGTTGTTTAGTTTGTATTGATTTATATAACTGTAATAATTTATTTGTTGTTTAATTACTATATAAAATGACAATAAGGTAAATGACAATTTCAATTAATATCAGTTATTTATTTAATTTTAGAAACCAAAAAAAAAACATTTGAAAAATACCCAATGCTTTTAACGGTAAATTAAAAACAACAATTACCGGTACTGTTATTGTCTTATACCGTGTATATAGACCGTAGAGTAACTGATTGATTGGTCGCTTCCATATCATATGTTTAGATAACAACACTCTTATGATGTATTTTTGTCGATTGATTTACGATGAAACTGTAGATGACTGTCCAAATAGGACTTGCATTTAAACATTTTATTACATTGAGGACAGGGTATGTGCGGCTCGTTATGTATTTTCATATGTCTATTGAAATAAAAAAAATCATATAAATTCAATTATTATTTTACAAACAAAAAAATAATAATATTGTATTTATATAACTAACCTTGATAATTTTGTTTTGAATCGAAATTTTTTATCACATCCGGGCCAATGGCACCCGTATATCGCTGGACTGTCCTCATGCAGTCTCTGTGTATGCGATTTGAGATTTTTGACTATATATTATAAACAATTTTTTTAAAAAAATAAAAGAAACAAAAATATTAATTATTATTTTAGTGACTTTAAAAAAATAACAAAATAAATCATAACTTTATTAACACTTTTTTAAATACATTAAAACACACACAAAAACATACCTGAGTTAGTAATAAAGTCACAGCCGGGCCACTCACATGTATAGTCTTTAATACCAGTTTTACTATTGTTTTTGCGGACTATATTTTTATCCGACAAAAATTAATAAATAATATTAAAATTACGATACAGTTGTTATATCACAACAACAAAAACTAACTAACCATTGATCTTACCATCCTTTTGATGGATAAGCCGATGGCCTCGTAGACTGCGTTTACTTTTGAATAGTTTTTCACAGATAGGACACGGATATGTAGGATCCCGGTGCACATCCATATGACTAATGAGAGAGAAAGAGAAACATAAAAAATTAATAATTTTATAATATTAATAAATCTATTATTATTTTCATTAATAATTAAATAATAATAAACCTGGTCAACTGAGTTTTGAATGGAAACTTTTTATCACATCCGGGCCAATGACATATATGCAGTGCAGGCCTGTCCTCGTGAACAGTGGCCGTATGAGACTTTAAACGCCAATCTATAATACAGTATATATATATATATACATATAAAAAATATCTATAAAAACTATTATTTATTGGTATACCTGTTTTGGTAACAAACTCGCAGCCGGGCCACTGGCACTGGTAGTTACGTTCGGTAGTATGAACCAATCGGTGATCTTCAATGGCCCGTTTGGTGACCGTACGGTGCTCACATCCAGGCCAACCGCACAGAAAATCTTTGATACCCATGTGTCGATTTTTATGAGCTATAAATATATATATATATAATTACACAACAATTATAAGCCAACAAATAGCACTACAGCTAATAATGTAATAATAATACTAATAATAATAACAAACATTTTAGGGCCGATATGTTATGCGTCCGGAACTGACAGTCCAGCCAATCGCACGTATAGAATGTAACCGATTTGCCCACCGCATGGATGACCCGCATATGTAGATTCAGTGACTTAAGACAAGCAAACAGTTTGCCGCACAGATCACAGTACAAGGATTTGTTTGGTTTGATACGCAAATGTCGGCTTTTGATGTGCTCCCGGAGCTCATTGTTTTTATAGATAACTTTATCACAGTAGCGGCACTTATACTTTTGTAACGAATAGTTAACTAACAAACAAACAAAATAATTATAAATTATTTTTAGTATTAATTTTTAAAAAAAATAAAATAATGACAACAAATACATTGTTTAATTTGTTTTTCATTCAACTGATCCAAACCCTCGCCTTTGGCGTAGTGTTTGAATCGTTTGTGTTTAAGGACATCGCTTTGATCGGCAAACGGATGGCCACAGATGTCACACTTGTAGGGTTTGATGTGCCGATGATGTCGGTTAACGTGCGACTCGAATGACTTGAAGCCACGACACCCGTAGTCGCATAGATCGCAAATATAATTGCCATTAGGTGTCAGACATTTAGCTGATCCAATCAGACAGACAAACACCATTAAAATCAATAGAAATCATTGAATATCAATCAATCAATACCTTTGAGTTGTTTTAATTGGTCTTCATATGACTCGCCCGATGTTTCCGTAGGTATTGTTGTTGTTGTGCTATCAGTTTGTGCGGTAGTGCTATCAGCCGTCGACTGTTGATTATCACCATCTGATCCATCATCGAGTGACTGTTCGTTTCCTACTTTTTCAATCGCCGATGACTTCGGTGTCTGATTTGTTGGCCGCGGACTCTCATCATCGTTGTTGTTGTTTTCGCCGTCAATATCATTATCATCTGTACTACCGATCATCACATCGTCTAAAAAGTTGTTGCCGTCGTTGTCGTCACCGTTGTTGTTGTTAAACATCTTTATCTGACACTTAAACTCTTTGACTGTGTCTATAATTAGTTCATTTTCTTGACATTGATTACACTGTTTTACCGAAACTATTAATTCTTTAAACACTTCCCTATAGACCGACAACTGTTCGCCAAATCTTTCGTTTTTAGTTTTGTATTCAACAATAATATCGTTGACATCAATAGTAGTTATCTTTGGCCGAAAACTGCTATTATTAGTAGTCATAGTAGTCTTTTCACTTGTATTGGCCATCATTTCACTGCTATCTTCATCGTCATCATCATCAGCACCAGTAGTCACCGGCTTATCGACTGCAGCCGCCAAACAACTAGTAGTAGTAGTCTTCTCCAACTCTGTCCATTTGTCGGCCAACTGGTCGACACTATCGCAACACTTGGAACAACCGGTTGCGCAGTCCATCAAATCGTTGACCACTTCCTCAAACAATACCAATTGTTTTTGTAGTCTTCCGTTGACTGCTTTGATTTCATCGAAAGTACTATTAATATCATTGTTATTGTTGACAACAGCCGCCGTCGCCGCCGGTGTCCTAATCTTTCTCTTAGTCGTCGACAACTGTCCTTCTCTTCTGCTACTCTTCTTGTTGTTGTTGACAATGACATGTTGTACTTCATAGTCATCTTCATCATCGTCGTCGTCGTCATCCACCTCTTCAGCAGCAAAACTGTTGACCATTTCTTCGCATTGTTTGATCTGACGAAACAGTTGCCGATTTTGGGCACTAATCTCGTCGTAGAGATTGTTATCGGCATTGATGGCCACTATCTGCCGGTATCTGTCATCCATATCTATATATATATAATCCAAAACTTTGTGTGTGTGTGTGTGTGGATCAGTTCAGGTGATAATCAATGACAACAATAACAACAATACTATTGTTATGATTGAGTGAAACAAATGGCATAAACATTGAGATCTCATATATTAAGAGATATTTTTAGTAAACATTAGGTCATTATTATTATTATTATTGAGTAGAGTAGAGATGTCTACAGTACTATATATATATAAAATGTATTAAAAACTGTTTGATTATATTCGAAACCAAAACAACAGTAGATGCACCACAAGCACATAAATATATCATAGATTATACTTAATATATATATACATACAAATAAAATCGTATGTACAATAACTATGTAACATTGTCTATGCTCCGCCCCCTAAACATTTAACACTAGTATTGCGCGCATATATACAGTAGTATAAACACTAGTGTGCTAGTGGGCGGCCATTATTGTTTTGGTTTTGAATATAATCGAACAGTTCTATTACTTACAGTAAGCGTTTAGACGGTAATTGTTTTTTTTGTTGTGTACACCTGTAGACATCTCTACACTATATTACATGAAATTTTTTAACGAATTATTTCATTTCATTCAATTGAATATATAGTCAATTGATTTACGATATAATTAATACAAACTATTATTTGAAATACATTTTTAGTGATTAGTGAAGACAATCAATGACCACAACATCGGCGGCGATAACAACGGTAAAGAAGATACAATGACCACAACATTAATGCGGGATTCGTTTGATCGGTTCGGCGATGATTTGGTCGGACTATTGCTGTCGTCGATGACGAATAATATTAGAAGAAATGAAGACAAATGGAAATTACAATTAGTATCAAAACAATGGCAACGATTGATATTCAATGGACAGACAGACATTGTTTTCGATAATATTTCCGATAATTTTCGGCAAACAGTTAGACTATTTGCGGCAATTTTACCGAAATGTTGTTCAATGATTGAAACAGTTGTCATTCGTAACCACCAATTGTCTGAAGAAATAGTCGATCTATTGGTTAGACATTGTCGACGACTAAGAGGTTTACGACACTTGTGTCTTAGCTCATACTGTTTGGACGGCAATGATGTCAACGCCGACCGATTGTTGGCGACATTTGGACCACAGTTGCAATCATTTCAGTTGCTAACTGTTTCGGGTAATTATCATCAGGTGGTCAACAAACTCGTAGGTTATTTGCCCGGAATCAAGAAACTGGTTGTCGGCGGCGGTTATTATAATTCGCAATTAGTAGACATTCGCCACTATTTTACCGACGACACCGGTGTCTGTGTTTTGCCGACAACAAGTTGTCTACAATCGATTGCCATTCGGTTGACAACCGAATGGCATTTTAGTACGTTTGCCGACAACTATGGCCACCAATTGACAGCACTTGATATTGTTGTCGAATTTGAAAATGAATCAATTGTTCCCTCATTTTCTAAATCGTTGACACGATTTTGTCAATTAAGACGACTTAGACTAACGATTAATAGGTTTTCTTCGGAAATTATCGGCAATTTATATACCAATGGATTTAGTCGTCGGTGTTTGAAATTGAAATCTCTATTCATTTCGACAAATCATTTGGAATCGATTACCGATTGTCTTATTAATCAATTGATGGACACATTAGGCAAAGATCTTAAACAATTGAAACGATTAGCCGTTTATTGTCTTGTTGTCAATGAATTTGGTAATAATAATAATAAGACAATACTAACGAGTAATTCATTGAAACATATGAAACAATTAACACATTTGTCACTGAAATTGGGAATTAATGTTATTAACGATCGTTTATTCGATGACATTGACCGCCATTTACCGCGACTTCAATATATTGACATCAATCAGCCGGACATTACCCGATCGGCACTGCAATCCCTGTCCCGATTGCGTCACTTAAATACCGTACGATTAGACTATTGTCGGTTTCCTATCGCTAGCCGCTATATTATCGATGATTTAGTTTCGGCCCAACCGAATCTGGCCAATGTTTACATATCGTTTCGCTATTGTCATAGTAAATATTATCGGGGTAATTTTATTAAACCAATATTCAATTGATTTTATTTGTAACCGGTTTATTATAACCGGCATATTATTATTATTATTATCGTACTATTTATTTATGTTATAAATTGTTGAAATATTAGAAAGCAAATTGATTGTTATTATTATTACTATAATTTATATCTATATTATATTAATATATATCTATATTATATTAATATATATCTATATTATATTAATATATATCTATATTATATTAATATATATCTATATTATATTAATATATATATATATATATTGTATATATACAAAAAATTACGGTAATATATATTATATAAACTATCAATTATTATATTATCTTAATATTTGAATACATATTGTTTTAAAGTTAAATATAAAATACAATACTTATAGAGAATTAAATTTATGAATTTAAAAAATACAAATATTTTTATATATATTGAAATATGAGTTGGAAAATAAATTACATTTAATATAATACTCTAAGATTTTATAAATTATTAAAATATTAAATAAAAATGATTTTCATTTATTGAGATACAGTAAAAAAATATCTAAAGTATGCTTGAAATCTATAGAATTATTAGTTTAATATCAATGATAATAATAGTATCAGTAATAGTAGTGAATGGTTTGCACTCACGTATCAAACAATACCCGAACGTAACGCTCGACACGTGTGGTATCGGACGGTTGATGACACAGTTGATGACTACCGGCCAGTGTTTCAATTGGTCATCCAATGTAATCACTAGTAGTAGTATACAAAATGGACGGATAGCCAAACCGGGAGAGTGGCCGTGGATTGCAGTGGTTTTTATTGAAAAATATTTTTGGATATTTATGTTAGACAGGTCAGTTAAATACTAACAATATATATTATATTTATTATTATAGTTTTTAAAAATTATTTTTATTATAGTTTTTTTTAATTATTTTTATTATAGTTTTTTTTAATTATTTTTATTATTATATTTTTTTTTAATTATTTTTATTCTATATATATATATACAGTATATATACATATTGTTTATAATTTTATATTATAATTTATAATTTTAGCTATCAATGTACTGGTGTTATACTAAACAGCAATTGGATTATAACAGTAGCCCATTGTATCAGGTAATGTGATATTTAAAAAAATAAATAAATTTTATGTATATATAATGCAACATAAATAGTATATTTCGATAAAATTTATCAAAAATTTTAGATAATATTTTAATACTATTTGTTTGTTTATTTATTTTGAAGACCCGATTACACCATAAGTGTTCGTACAGTTCAGGATTATAGAGATACTGATGTTAAGCATACATACGGTGTCCGACAGGTTTACTATCATCCAAATTGGACGACTAGTTTTGATAAACCAAATCTAAAAAACGGTTACGACATTGTATTATTAAAATTAAAATCACAGATACCGATACCAAATGATGGCCATCATCGGTATCATCAGCTGAACAGCATATGTTTACCAGACAAAGACATTGTTAATACTGATGAAGAGTTAGCATTGTTTGCCGGTTTTGGTCGGACTGATGAGGATGTGGACAATTCAGGTCTACTGAGGATGGGTTGGGTTAAGATTGCAAAAGCAGTGTTTAATCATTTTGATTATTGGAGTAAATGGATAGTAGCCAACAGGTATCCAATGCTATCGGGATCAGCACTTTGTAAGGTTAGTACATATACACCTACTACTACCGGGTAATAATAATAATTATTATTATATTAAGTACTGTATATATATAATAATAGGGTGATTCTGGCGGACCATTGATCCAGTATGTCGGGGGTCGGGCCGTACTTATTGGCCTAAACCGAGCCGTAGAGACTACTGGTCATTGTCTGAGTGATAAACCAAATAAAGTAATGGATTTTATGAGAATTTCAAAAGAGATCGATTGGATTATCAATATTATTAATAATAATAATAATAATAATTAATTATTTAGATAACTATTAGTTTTATTTGCTTTTTGTTGTTGTTGTTGTTGTTGTTAAATAATAGTTAAAATACTAGAATTTATTTTTTAATTAAATTATTTATTATTTTTATTAACACAATAAAATTTAATAGTCCTCTTATATTTTTTTCAAAAAATCCTATGTATTCAAAATTTTAACAATTGGCAACCCTAACTATCAATACTAATATCAATTGCTAATAATAATTAATTAATTAATTAATTACTGAATTTTGTTATTTTATGTATAGTATATTATTATTTAGATTTTATTATCTATTAAAGTGTTAGTATTATTTAATAAATTATTATTATAATTATTATTATTATTACTATTGTTATATTAATTTAAGTATATTTTACATATTAGATATCAAATTATATTATAATAAATTATTTTGCAAAAATAAATAGTATTAAAATTTTTATGATTGACTTTGAAATATTAGAAAATGTAAATTAAAATTTTAGTTTTTAAAAAAATATTTTTTCATATTTTATATTCATTGAAAATATTATTATAACTTATTTTAATATAACCAATAAATCTGTTGATCATTAAAATATGATTGAAAACTATAAAACAATACATTTTCTTATTATTTTAATATCAATGATAACATTAGTATCAGTAGTATTAGTGGTGAATGGTTTTCATTCACATATCAAACACTATCCGAACTTAACACTAGACACGTGTGGTATCGGACGGCTAACACAGTTGATGACTACCGGCCAGTGTTTCAATTGGTCATCCAATGTGATCACTAGTAGTATACAAAACGGACGGTTAGCCCAACCGGGAGAGTGGCCGTGGATTGTATTGGTTTCAGGAAAACGAACTTATTATGAATATATATTTTTAGAGAGATATCAATAGTAATTATTATTATTTTTTAATATATATAAATATATATTAATTATAATTATATATTAATATTCAACTAAATAACTCAACTACCGGTATATTATAATCAGAGTTAAGTAAAGGAGGTAGGGGGTGGGGGTAAGACCAAAATATCCCCCAAGATTTTTCGAAAATTTTGCAGATTTCACCCCAGTCTACCCCCTCCCCCTAAAATCCAAAACCTTGCTTAACA